TTGTTTTACAAAATGACAGCCAATGGGATACATATCACAATAGTCTACTGGATGGAGAGCTGATTAAAAACGTTAGAAAACAAGTCCTGGACTGGCAAATCCTGAAATATTTATGCACTGAGCGCATTACAGGCATTCACTCAAGCAAAAGTTCTTTTTTCTTTGTTATTCCTGTCTGGCATCAAGCAGAACCAATGTTCTTTAATTTGCCAGAAAACAGACATCAAGCAGCATAGTCTCAAAACACAGATGGATCTTCAAATCAAGACATATCACTGTGTCAGAGGGCAAAGCTTGGAATTTGTATTTTTTGTGATCTCTAAACTACAGATACAGCAAAACAAAATTCCCCAAAGACTCTGCCTTGACACCGCACCAAAGAAGAAAACTCTTTCAGACTCTGTTCAGGAAGTGAAATAACAGGATCGATCATGATAAGAGGCTGTGGCATACACAGAAATATTAGACTGTGCTATGGTCAGCTTCATTTCCTACCAAAAGCAAAACCGGTAACAGAGAATTAAAGCTGTGCCTCCAGACCGCAAAGGACTACCAATTAATTTATTCCCCAGATCCCTTCTAGCAGGGAGACTCTTTCAGCATTTCAAAGCACTCAATGAATAGGACAAGTTTATTTCATCATCTTCCCCAAATAGCCAGAAAAGAGCATTTCTCATCTCAAAACATAAAGCATACAGAAAAAAAGAGTGCTTATATGCTGTCCTGAATGATATCCTACAATGCGTTGCCTCTGATGCAAGTTTAGTTTCAATAAACAATGGTAAAGGCTGAAACCTACGACAGTTTCAGGGAAGGAGCAGTAAAGCCAAAACCTGCAAAAACTGCAAGGAGTGGTTCCAAGGTACATTTCTAAGCAGATGATCTACAACAGCAGTCTGTGGAGTATGGGGAAACAATTTTCATGGCAAGATGACAAATCACCAAAGAGCTAGTAATACCCACCAGCAGCCTCAGCTCCAGCCCCACTGGCTGTAGTGTTGGTTGGGCCTGAGCCTGAGGTGGAAGTGTTTGAGAACCTTCTCCCTGGGCAGAACAACTGAGCAGAACCAGCTTACAGAGATAAAAGTAACAGAAACTTGACATCAAAGTTTGACCAGTTCTTGCACCTTTTTAACACATTTGAGAAGTCAAACGGGGGCTCAGAATGTCAAAGCCCCTCTCCCACACGAGCTGCCCAAATGCAGAGCACCCAGCGCCGCATGGCAAATGTGTGCCGCCATGGCTCAATGTGCCACAGCTGCTGCTCATTCAGCCCAGCAAGACACATGCACATGGAGTGCGGTTATCTTAGCCTAAATACAAGAAACCCACAGCACACAACATTAATTTTACAGTAGCCTGAAGAAGCAGTGGTGTTTCACAAACGCCTGTGTGTGGAGAGGCGCAGTTTCTGACACAGAGGCGGTGGGAGGCCCTGCAGCAGCCCCACACCCTCCACGAATGGCTCCGGCCAGCTGCTGAGCACACAGCTGTGCTGCTTGGCACCGGGCTCCTTTGGAAGCTGTTATTCAGAGAACACCTCTGTTGGCACAGGTCTCTGACTGAAGTGGTACTAATATGGGGCAGAGAATAAAAACACCCTTATCAGATACCAGAGAGCAAGGCACCGGAGAGGTGATGAGCATTTATGGAGGAAACATGTCTAGGAAAGCCATCATCTGCAGAAGGCAACAGTGATAAGAGACACTAACCCCAAGCCACTCCCCAGTTTTCAAACACCCAACTGGTGAAGTTTCGTGAGATGTTTGATCACTAGCACACCTCCAAGCCCTCTATAAGCCATAAACTTACTCCTGCATCAGCACTTCCAAGAAAGGAAAGGGATCAGATCTAGCAGCAGCACCATTTTCAGCACACGTTCTGAAAAGTGACTTTGCACAGAAGGCAGTTGCGGCAGAGGGGGCTCTGCCCACTCCTCATCAATCTCCGTGCCCCCGAAGGGGCTGGGAACCCAGCAGCCTGCTCACACACTGCACAGTAGCCACGCTAGCCAAGCAGCTGCTGTGGGACAGGCACACACCAGGACCAGATGCTGGTTCTCAACAGGTAGGTTGGGCAATGCAGAAGAGAAAATGCACCATGGTTCTCATCTCAAACTCATTTGCAATTTCACCAGTTAGGTGGCAGCTTAGCCCAGTGTGCCAATGCTCACCACTGGTTTAGCAAACAGCAATGAGCGAAACAGAATGGAAAAATGACAAGGAGAGAAAAACGCTCTACACATCATACAGTCTATAAAGTGATCTAACCAACGTTCCCAGAAGTCATCAAAATCTGCAAAAATATCATGCATATGTGAAACTAATAATTACTGTTATTTCACATTTCCTGATAATATTTCTCCTTCTGCTGCTGAAAATAATTTGAGAATTCTCCTGCTGCAACATACTCAGAGAAAAGTCCATTTCAAGATCTTTGAGTACCACCAAAAGAGAAAAATCACACATACAGTCAAATAAGAGACAGAAAACCAAAGGTAAAACATGCAGATAAAAAATCCGGGCGCTGCCTTGCATAGTTACTTAACAAAGCTTGTGTCTATAAATACATTTCAAGGTTGCTATTGCCAACACAACTGTAAATATTTAAAAAGAAACACATCATAGCCCTTGGACTAAGGCACCTATTTTTCCACACCCAGCAGAGAGTTTTTCCTTTATCACAGTGTGTATCAGAGTGTTAGTTCATCCTTGAAATTCCTCATACATGACATGAAATATGCTTCAATCAGAAGAATTAGAAAAAAAATTCTTTTAACAGCATGATTTTACACACATCCAATCCAATCACAAAGAAATAATTTGCATTACTATATGCTTCCTCTTAGAGCTTACTGATAACTTTCTTCACCCTCCAAGAAGCAGAAGCCAACCAGATAACAGCAGCCTGTAGTTCCTTCTTGTGTACAAACACTGCAAGTTTGTTTTTCTTCCCCGTAACTACAGCCTTCTCTCCATGGCTCCCACTGTAATCCAAATTTCCTGGTTTGAGTAAGATATCTAATCTTAATGACACCAGTACAATACTGAGTCAGCCACCTAAATGTGTGGATTCACACTATAAAACTCCTTCATAAAAGGTCTTCTCTGCTGTGTTTATGCAGGGTGTTCTACAGGAGCTGTAAAGCTAAATTATCTGCTGGAATTAACTCTCAGAACAGAGCAGGAGTGCTTGTGCATTTGGTGACCATCTTGCTTGGGATATTTTTACAATACATTCCTCCACTCCATGCTCAATTCACCCTAAGCTGCTTATGCAGATACTAAACTGAACATGTGATTAATCTGTGTATCCTTACTCTTCCAAAACATCTGATAAAGACAAGCAATAGGTTGGTTTGCCTCCGTGGCATCGCAGCAACCGATCCTCATAAACCTTGTAATTCCCCCGATTAATCCAGCTCCTAGAGGCGCTCCAATACTGGTGAATCCTCCCGTTCCAGATATTTTTCATTCATATCTCAAACACAGTTTCTGTTACCGTGGCCTTCAGCTACGTAAAACTGATGGATAGTGACAAAGCTCTGCCACCCAAGGATTTCCCCAAACCTATCATCTCTGCTATCAGAAGAATTTCCCCTGGAATTTGTTACTATGACAATGTATTGCTCTGGAGATATGATGATGGCAGAGCGGATTTACATTTTTCTATCCATTACTGAAGTTTTTCCACACATGAGAAAGCAATCACACACATATGGGATTACTGTTTTTCCTAAACACATGGGGAACATCCAGCTTCTTGCAAACGTATCAGAAATATATACCAAAAAATGACTTTGCCATGTAGCTGCCAATAATGAAAACAATTCAACAGCTACTGATAGCCAGCATCAGCCTTGTGCTGATGCTCCAGTCACTGGTAGGTGATTAAATGGGTATTTCAGAGGGCCACAGGAGGATTAAACTGTATTTGACAGTGGAACTGCTCAATGATATTCAACCAAAAACAAGAGCGAGACCCCACGATCTTCCACACAGTGCAGCTCCCCAGCAAGCACTGCGATCCCCTGCTCCCAGCTGTGTGTGTTTTTGGGGACGTTCCACTGGGGGGTTAGAAGGGATCGGCATCCCCACACTGTGCGCTGCCTGGCCTTGCACTGTTACTTGATGCAGGAGCCTCTGAACAGATCCAAATGGGCACCACTGAAATACTCCTGAAATGCAATGCAACCGACAAAGGCAGGCTCTGGAAACAGACCGTGTCCATCCCCACGGTTACAGGCATAACGCCATCATTCACGTTACTCGGCTGAGATCAAGATCGTGGGGGGTGTGCGGGAAAGGAGCAGTGAAAGCCGCTTGGGATGGCGGTCGCGTGGAAAACGTTTCCCAAAGCAGCCGCGAAGCATCGTGCCCACGCTGCGGCTGCTCGCCCCAGCCGGGAGCTCATGTCAGTACAGGAGAAAAAAATAACACACATCATTCCGAGCCGGGCGGAGCGCCGCGCCGGCCGCGGGCCCCCCGAACTTCCGGCCGCGCGGTTGCTAGGCAGGATTACCATCTCCGTGGCAACCGCCGCGCAGCCCGGGGCCGTCCCCTCGCCAGGCAACGCTCGGCCGCGCCGCCGCCGCACCTGCCGGGCTACGCGTTGCCGTGGAAACGCAGCGTTGCCGTGGCAGCCGGCGCGCCAATAGGCGCGAGGGAAGGCGGCAGCCCCGCTCCGGCAAGCCGCGGCCCCGGCGCGGCGCCGGGAGGGGCTCGGAGGAGCCCCGCGGGAGCCGTCGCGGCCGCTGCTCGGCCCCGGCGGGGTGCCGGGCCCCGCTCCGGCCCGATAGGGGCACCGTGCCCCGAGCCGGCACCGCCGCCCGGTACGACCGGCGCCCACCGCCCCACGCGCGGCCCCGGGCTGGGACGAAGCGGTCCCCCCGCACCCCGTGGGGTCGTGGCATCCCCGGGGCTGCCCGGCGCCACCGCGTGCCTGCCCCGCGCCACAGGCAGCTGCAGGAAAATAGAGTTGTAAAATCATCTAGGTCTTACCTTTGATATGCCTGAGGAGATGTGGGAGGTGTATTGAACACATGCGAGTATGGGTGATAGGGTGTCTTTTTCAAAGCCTGAATAAGATTTTGTCTATATTCTGGGTCTATACACCACAAGGACCCCTTTCCAATACTCTGCAAAGAAAAAAGAATTAAAAAAAAAATCAAATATTTGATCTAATGGCACAGCCTCATTCATTTAGCAGTAGTTGTCAGGATAGCAGTGGGTTGGGTTCCTGGTCTGACAGCGGTGAACACAGTTTGCCCGCCAGAGATATTGCTCCATTAATAAATACTGTGACTATGGTTTAAATCACACTTCCGTGGGGGAAAAAAAAAGAAACAAGAACGCATGTTTGGCTGCTTCCCCACCACCCCTTATTAGTTAGTATGATTTAATGGCATCTGGCAATTTCCCCGTTACCCTATACTGGAACAACACAAAGCTACGATTACTGGTAGATGGAAACTTTGAAGAGAAGCTGATTCTTTTTTCAAAGTGATTTTATTTTCCTTTTGTGCTGCTATGCTAAAGAAAAACAGGGCTGAAAAGGAGTGGTTTAAACACCCTAGCAACTGTTTTAAAAATAAAAGGATTTAATCCTTCAGCCACATGACATTGGTGCCACTGTACTACAAGAAATTAATCATCTTTTCTCCCCTAAGGAAAGAAAAAACACCCCTAGAACCCCAAACAAAACAAAACTGTAAAACCAGATCTTAAACCATGTCGGGGTGTTGTGAAATCAGAGTTAGTGGTTCCAGCAGCAGTGACTGCCACAGCTCTCCCCGGACGCAAGGGAACACATGGAGCTGGCAGCCTGCAGCAGGAAGGCCACGCTGCCACTCAGCACCACTGCAGCCCTCGGCCCAGCGGAGGTTGGGACAGACAGCCAGGGCTGTTCAAATGCACAGAAGTACACCTCTTGCTAGGCTGCAATGAGAGCGCACAGGCAGATCAGAGCAGCCCTGTTGAAGAACATGTCACACCAGCAGCAGTTCTCAATATGGACAGAGCTCCTCATGAAGCTCTCAGGCCATTAAGGATGTGTTTCTGGCAAATGCTGGCATGCTTTGGAGCCAGTGAAGAGGCTGTACTCCACCCCCGTGTGCGCCCCAGCCCAGGGCACTCTTTGCTGAGCTCCAGCTCCTGAATATCCAGGCTGGATGTGGCTCTGGGCAGCCTGGTCTATTGGTTGGCAACCCTGCCTACAGCAAGGGGGTTGAAACTAGATGGTCTTTGAGGTCCTTTTCAACCCAGGCCATTCTATGATTCTGGTGTTCCCATGTCCAACAGCCAGCACACACACATACACAAACCACGGATGAGACTGAATGAAGAAGACTGTTTCTAAAGCCAGAAGGAGGGCACAAACCCAACACCCGTTTCCTATGGAGAAAGAGCCCTACAGCCCCTAAATGCTGCCCTGCTTTATGGGGGCTTCAGGACACACAGTGGGATACACTTAGTGCTTGCACAGCTCCTTCCAAGCTGACAGGCTGCACATCTGCACAGAAGCCACCCCGCAAACAAAACTAGAAAAATAAGAAAGAAACTTCCTGAGCCTCACTGGATTGCTATGCGGGAGCACCTCACAAGCCCACAGCACTGCCCGAGTCATGGCCTTCATTCAAAGCCAAACCTACCTGCAGGGGGCAAGGAACCAGGCTCTGCAGGGAACTGGGAGCTGGGAGAGCAGCTGCCGGCTGGCCAGCTTCTGGGCTGGCAGCAGTTGGCCAGAAGGCTCCAAGTGGCCCAAGAGGGACAGTGCAGGGAGAGGCTGGGCCTGCAGGGCCTGGAGGCTCCAGGAGGAGCAGGCCTTGGGGCTGCTGCCTGGGCCAGGCACTGTGCAGGTGACTGAACACCCACCACAGTGCCATGGGGAGCTGTGTGCCCAGTGCCTCGCACCAGTCTGTAGCCAAGAGCCTGTGATGTTTAGCTCTCGAATGTGGGACAATAAGCCAGTCCTGGCATGGTAAGCCTAGGAAGTGACCTTTTAGGCAAAGGACAGACTCAAAAATAGAATCCAAATCTCTCAAATTCCACTTCCACGCTCCATCCAAGAGGCAGAGCAAGAACACCACAAATTTTCCTTTTAAGCAAGCAACACGCAAAGCTAGGAACATTTTCTTCAGGAGTAAACCTTTGCTGGATTCCTTACTCTTTACAGCATGGGACAAGCTTTAAAAACGCTACACTTAAACACCACCCTGTGTACTTGTACTTGCTGGAACACAACATGCTGTTTCCAAGCCTCTGTGTTCTTTCCTTTCATCCAAGTCATCTACCTGGCCGTGATCTCTCTCAGCCCCCCAGGAGCGAGCACGAATCGAGGGGTTTACAGGGTGAGGTCACTGCTAAAGGCTGATTTCAAACCAGGCACTGCTGCCATGCTGCATTTGTTTGGCTTGCGGATATTCTTGTGAAAGCCAAAAATAACCTCACTGGAAAACAGAAACTCTCACTCAAGAGATTGGGAAGGTATTCTTGTTAGAAGAAGCACTGAGAAGGCAGTGCTATATTTTTTTGCTAATATATTTTGCCCTATTTTCACTGCAGCTGAGCTGATTTATAATTTAGGAGCAACAATAAACACAATTTAAAACAAAGCTCCCCAGCCATGCAAAGTTCCTTTTTTAAGATATTTACCTTTGCTCTTCCACCAGCACACAACAGACAGAAACACAAAGAAAACTGAAGTGTCCCCTGGTTAAGACTCCTTCCTGATAGTCCAAGGTGTGAACAGCTCTGTTAGCTGTTTGAAGATGTGTCATTAGTCTTCCATACACAGAGCAGTCACAGGAAAGGAAATCACTGCAACTCAGACCAATCCGTTAGTGATTAATTTCCATCTTATGACACTTGGCGTGCTGCTTCACTACCTCCTCCAAGCCAAAAGTCAATAGTGTCTCCAATCAAAAACAAGCAAGAAAGGAAAAAAATCCCTGGATAGTATTTGTCTCCCAGGCAACAAGTGAGCAAGGAATGAATCCCAGCCCAGCAACTCAGCATTGGAGTGCTGCAGCTCGTCTGGCTCTGTCTCGGATTCTGGGCACAGCACTCAGCCCCTGGCACCTCCTGTTCAGCTGTGGCTGCTCCTGTATCCGTGGTTCAGGTTGTTACAAACAAGGACAGTGCTACCAGGAGTCTCCTCACCTTATCCAAGAGCAGGCTGTAACCACAGGCAAGCCATTCCAAAGGTATGACTATCAGAGAGAGAAGCCAACACATGGAAGTTACCCCATGAATACTCAGGGCTTGGCAGAATCATAGAATCACAAGGTTGGAAACGACCTATAAGATCATTTAGTCCCACTGTCTCCTCATCACCACTGCCACCACTAGCACTAAACCACATCACGCAGCACGTCATCCAGATGCCTCTTGAACACTGCAATATTTTCTACAAGAAGCTTCCTGATTATGTTTACAATTATAGCGAAGATATTGTTTTTCCTTTTTCTGTTTACACATACAAACTGTATTTAGGTACTGTTCTTTCTGATAGCTCAAATACCCAAAGGTGACTTCCTTCCAGCCATCAAAACAGGTGCATTATCAAGAATAGGTGTGAGACATTCAGTGCCCAATTTCTTTCCCCCTCAAAATGGACTGCATACAGAAGTTTTAAAATCCTATTTACACAACCTGGTAGGATCCAAACAACAACAAAAAAATTGGTCCTGTTAGTAGAAAAAGCTGTTTGGAACTTTAAAAAAAAAAAAAAAAAAAAAAAAAGCTGGTTGTTAGCTCTGTCAATCATTAGAGTTAACAGCATTATCTGCTATTAAAACTCTTCATTATGAAGATTTTGCTTCCATATACCTCACACCGCCGACAGCCTAGCCCTATGCAGTACTTACCATCTGCCCAAAGCTCCATTAAAAAAAAGTCTCTTTCCAGGATCAACGGCTGGGAAAAATACAGACCCTGCCTATATAAAAATTCTGGCAAATGCTTATTTAAGGAATTTCATTCCCTGGTTGTTTTAGCACTGACTTGAAATTTGTTAGGAATGCAGCTTGTTTCCACGGTGGTTCTTTTTAATGCCAGACAGTCCATCCCAAATGAAGCTTGGGAAAGAGAGCAGATTTAGAAGCCACAAAACATGCAGGTTCGGAGTTGGACAGTCACAGCTGTGCCACTGCTTGGCTGCCTGGGTCCAGTGGGGCCCTGTGCTGACAGAGGGGAGCGGCAGCACGGGGACGCTCACATCCCACAGCAGGTCTCTGCCTGGTGCCCAGTCCCTCTCCTCAAAGAAGATCCATGGGGACTGTCCCCTTCTGCAGGACAAGCCACGGTGACACAGCAATGTTCCTCTTGGCACAGCACCGAGAGGAAAAGCAGGGCTCTGGCTGGGCACAAACCAGCTGGGAATGGTTCGCCAGGCAGGCAGAGAGCAGGCACGGAGGGGGAGCTGGGACAGGCTGGGCAGTTGGCTTTCAGTCAGTGAGCTTGTTGGTCCAAGGAAAAGAATCCAACAACTGCCCCCTAAGATGAACTGCCAAAATAGTAGGGGATGAATCTTAGGACTAAACTCTCCAAAACCAAAATTATCAACGGAATAAACTAGGAATGCCACCATTACCCAAATTGGGTGGTGCACATATACACTATCATTTCTAACTATTCTGTCCTGATTACTGTGGCACTTTAGGAGCTATGAAAGTGAGCAGAAAATTAGAAACTTCCTATTAGTTGAAAAAGGACATTTCCAATTAGCATCTGCAATTCCAAGTCATCACGTCTTGAAATCATAAGATGGTGGCACATCAGTCCCTGGCTAGGTCAGTGTAAGCCAGTGCAGTCATTAACACAGGACCTCTGAATAACACTAATGACACTTTCTTGCAAAGATAAGGAACCATTTGGTGTCACTCATCCCCACTGCCGATATATAAGTTTGCTCTCAGCATGGATGAAACCTACTATTGTTACAGCAAATGACCTCTCTGCAAGTAATAGCAGAGAGATTACTGTGTATCAGAGGTTCTTATTCTGGATAAATATTTATCCCGTGCTCACTGTGCCTCTCACAGTAGAGAACTTGAAGCAAATCTTCACTCAGATTTGCCAACATGTTTACCCACAGGAATGCCATACAGCTCTCCCACAGGTGTCCACGTATGCCACC